TTCAAATAGAGATTATGGCATACCCTCTTATGTAAAGGTTTTATAATGTAAATGACGCCTATAGTCCGGCAATACGGAGCCGCGGAGAACTTAAACGGTTACCGGGGCTCCGGCTCAAAGTGCAGGAGTAGGAACGGGGTGGTTTTTAGTCAGTAAGTGTCAGAGTCTGACACTCTCTCCCTCCTCACCGATGAATTCCCCCCTTAAAAAAAATACTCCGGCAATAGTGGACTTGTCTGTCACAAGTTGTTGAAAATAAGGATAATCAACCTACTTATTTATCTATGCTATAGAATTACTTATTAATTTTATTCGGTAATAATGACTTATGACCTTTTATAATAAAAATGACTAGTTACTCAAGTGAGAAAATATTGAGAAAAGCTCTAATAGTTTCGCGTCACAGAGGGACTCTCGCTCATGAGCCGCATATGCGCAGTCACGGCGATGTCGCGCAGCTCAGTATATTCACAAGAGTAGCCCGCCATTTTTAGTTGACTTATGATTATGACTTATCGGCAAAAATATATCAGTAACCAAAGACTTGCAATACAAAATAAAAAGTTTCGATACAACACCACAGATTAAACCACACTATCTCACGACCTTGATAAAAAATAATAATATACACGTTTTTTGATAGTACACACTTAAATAATAATACATAACACCTATGTACAGTGTACTTGAAATAAAACACACCATATTCTTATATACACACTCGAGATAAGTGGGTGTCACATGAATTTATGTACAAACACATCAAGCTATGCTAAACCAGTATACAGTGATCTTCGATTGTGCGAAACGATCTTACAAACCGAGGTCAAGACAAACTGGCTTAGTATAGCCGTGTGTACTAAGTATAGATACCTATGTACTTAGTCTTTATATAATACTGTTTACAAACATTTACTGAAAGATAACAATTCACTATGACTTGAGATGACGATGGATTTTTGCAAATTCAGTATTTTTATCATGAATGATTACTTCTATCATTCTATGATATATTTTTTTAAATACTAGCTTATGACGTCACAAGTCGTATAGTCAATTTGCACAGCCATTCATTATTCTTGTCAATAATAAATCATCTTAATTTGTAGATATACTTTCTTTTTTCTGTGGTTGGGTACAATTCAGTTCATAAATAATCCCATAACAATTTGGAATTATATAACATTTTAAAAGCTTATTTGATTTGCAAACAACAAATACTCTCCAGAAATTAAGATTTTATGTTTCTGCTTTCATGTTTCCTCACAGATTTCCTTAAATACATAGTTCAAGCGACCGGTTTGTATCTTGTTCATTAAATACACTTCGTCCACAAATTACACTGATTACGATTACGTTATCATTTTCAATGGGTATCATTAACTGTTGAGCGAATTAGCTTCCTCATGCTACATGCCTACAAACTATACTCTAAACTGGACCACTTAGGTATGTTTCTACATGGAAATATCTATTTCAAAAATACGTTACTCATCCAGTAAAAAATACAGGGAATTTTTATGTTTAATATTAACTAAAAATGTGTTTAAAACCATAACAGTAAAATCAACCTAAATCTATCATGTGTCAAATATTCAGGTCAATGATAACGTTCGTGCTATGAAAAAAAAAACAATATTACTTATCTGTGACATGACATGTCACTGAGCTTTACGCGGGAAATTAGGTAGGCTACCATAATCTGCCCGCATATTTTTTTTCTACAAAAGATAATATTTAAATTAAGCATTATAAATAGTAGGAAATGTCTACAATCTACGTTAATAGAAATTAAGTAAGCCGCACTTTATCGCCCACTTAAACATTGCCAACCATTTACTTTCCAGTTTTTTTTCTTTACTTTATCATAATAAGCCAAATAGGCGAACTTTAAATAGGCGTAAAACGTTTAAAAGCTTTTTACTATATTTTACCAGCTGATGCACATATTTTTTATCATAATTCCAAGAAAAATATAATTGCGATATAGTCCAAGCGAATAATCATATTTCTTGTGTCATCTTAAAAGTGATTTAAGATTGTAAGCATTTCCATTTTGTTCTAAGTAACTACAAAGATAACTAAAATGTAGAATGTACCGTAAGCTCTCATACAATTTATGGTCATGGCATTGTTGGATTATATTATGGTATGGCTATCTTAATCCATAAATCCATACTATAAGGTCCACTTAGTCTGAATAATGGCAACACTATTGCTTAAATTGCAACATCGCCTACATTCTACAATAAAAAATCTAAATTGAGGTAGTCTTTTAAATTTTAAAATGTAGGCTACATTTCTATGTATGTACCTACCTGTTTTAAAACCTAGACTACCTCGATGACCGAGTGGTCGCAAGTTGCGACTGCCGGGTTCGGGTTCCATTCTCAGGTCGGGCAAAGAATTACTGGCTTTAAAAAAATCTCAACAGTAGCACGGAGTCTGTACACGGGACTCATTTAACATAATAGTGAATAGTGGGTGTTACATTGTACAGTGACATTAAGAGCCGTAATGTGCACCTCTGCCTTTTCCTTCGGGGGTAAAAGTCGTGATGACTTTCTTCAAATAAACGGAAATCTTATTTATATCATAGATGTAAATATTTTGCTTTATGACTACATAAACAACATTATAGCTTGATAAAAATAAATTTATATACATATTTAGATTAATCTCCACCCACAGTAGTCATTGAATATTCATTGAAAAGTAGCGTCACCCCGCAAGAAATCTATATCAGTCTATAAATAGACTTGCATTGCAAACAATAGCCCATTTGATTGCAATGAGAAAGCAAGTAAAATCGTCTCGTCTAGACGCATCTTTGTAATTAGATTTCAACAATAAAGAATTTCTCAGTAATTCTCAACACACTTGTACTGTTACTCGGTAGTTCTTTTTTCGCGCGATAGGCGGGAACTAGTGATGGGCATACGTTATTAAATTATTGGATAGATTTTAGTATTTTTTTTATTACTCAACATTTTTTGTGTGCTATGTTTATTTTATTTTTATGTTTTGTTTTAGGTAGGTTCATAATATAATATTGTAATAATTTTTATTCGAGCGTAACTTATAATATTTTGTACTTTAATATTTGTACAAATGGAATAAATCACATTCATCGCTTTTCATTCTCTTCGGCTCGTTGTTATCGCAATAACCTTCATTTTATTGCTTTGAATTTTATGGTTGTTAGGTTAGGTTAGGTTCTATATTCATCTCATATACCAACACACACAAGTACATATTTTGATAAGAAACATATACATACCAAACAGTTTTATGGTTACGATATTTTCTCGTATATATTCTCTCTTCTATAGGCATAAGTATCGTGTATCCTAGATAAGGGAAAATAAATATCAAAGACACTGTGATGTCTACCCTCAATTTATATTCTGTCCACGATATGACCTTCACCCTTTTATGAGAAGAAATCTGAGCTGAACCCAATAGATAACAGGAGTGTAAAGTACTGGAACTTGACGGAGAGGCTTTTATCGATTAGATAAGTATTTGGTTCTGACAAGGATAACTCTAAATTGAAGAATGTTTGATCAAAGTAATATTCGTATGACACACAACAAGAAGAGAATACAGGCAGACAGCGATATTGCGTTATTATAAGCTTTTTTTTCATATACACGTAGAAAAAACACAGTCTCAAATAAAAATACCAAAGTAGAGCAAAATCCTCCAAACTTAGGCGAAGTAGTAATGTAATTATACCAATGTCACCACACTAAAAACTTCTATTTAATACTTAAAACAATAATGTTTCGATGGCGCATTGTTTAATCAACCTTAACTAGACTGCAGCTGTGATCACAATACTCTTGAAAATACAACAGTTGCAAATTTTTTAGTCTTCATGTGAGCAAACTTGGAGAACACGTGACAAAGATTATTGCTAATACATTAAGTCTTATCTTCAATAACTGACTTAAATTTTTAAACTTGCTATATTAGAGAAACTGTATTCTTGACAAAAAATTAGTACCTATTTTATGCACGTAATTTGTGCTCCATTTATTTATAATTCATTTAAAATTATTCTTACCTAGTGTGAATCTAATTGTTGCATCGCATTCTCTTCACTACTTACGTATTTTTATGCAGCTTGTGCACTTAGCAACGCGCCAGATGAAATTTTTTACTCACTACATTGTTCTCTAATGCGCACACGCAAGCATCATTCGATTATAGTATAGTGTGTATTTCAATAAAATGGTAAGAAACAAATGATGTTATTATAAATAAGGTGTTTGTTCTTTTTTCTATTATGAGCACTTAAGCACTTAATTCAGTATTTAGTGAATAAGGCTCATAATTAGTTTTTATCTTTTTATTATAACGATTACAGCAACGTATCATCGCTAACGTTGAAATAGAAATAAAGTTACTAATACGGAATGTCTAAGATATTCTTTAAATTAGTATTCGACAAAATCCGCATAATAATCGACTAAATTAAAACTTAAAATACTGCAGCAATCGATTATATTATTTTCTATGTATGCTGCAAGTGCACTTAGCAACACCCATAGCGAATGTTTTGTACATTAGGTGCGCTAGTTTTTATTCTACCATTGTTCTGCACTTCACGCATGCTTGCAGTTAGCAGTGCAACTTGAAAGTAAATGTTTTAAATTGAATAAGTACATTAAAGACAGCGAAAAGTAATCCCATACGATGTTCGAACTTTTCTTCAATTTTATTAACTACTTAAATTAATAGTCTTCCGTATCCTGGTCGCTTATAAATGAAAAAAAATTTTTAATTAATTTCCAAACATGAAAATAATTATAAAAATCTGCGTTACTCATCTTCGGATTTTAGAACGTACTTTTAAGGTTAGGCTTATATTCACTATCCTGATTCCGGTCGATAAATCATACGAGACCATTTAATTTTAATTATATCCCTCAGACAGTATTCCCTTATAAATCACATGATGCTTCTCATTCTAACAGTATCTCTTTTGTCTACAGTTGGTACAACCACGACTCACTTGACTGTAGTCAGGGTCAACAGTGACCCTACACCAGTCAAAGACCATCAGGTTCCAGTATTCCTCTACAGCAGGCAATCGTTCGTTGCTGATCAATGGGACCTAACTACAAACCAGGTAAGATTAGCTTAAAATCATTTAAACTGTTAATCTGATCTTTGAAGGAGGCGACGGAGTTTTTTTACTCAACTCGAATCGGATGTTAATCGACTAAATATCATTTATTAGTATACGTCAACCCTAACAGTTGTGTCTACTTATACGGTGAGACGTAATGAGGGAAAGCCAAATAGTTACCAAGCCACCCTAAATTAAGGAAAACGATGATATTTGCCAACCTGTGGTTCATTAGAGACTGTCATAGCATGTTTTTTTATCTTGACATAATAAAATTAAATAATATTTTTCTTTGAAGGGGCGAAGCATTATTGTCTGCTTGTTGAAAATGTGAGCAAGGTAAGATAAATTAAAATATTTTACTTTACCTTGCTTACCTACTTTATGGTACAATAGAAAAGAGCAAACGAATACCATGTAGGAGTTAGTTATTTATATATGCGATACGTGGGAGATAATTATTTTTACCAACATTCAATCAATGAACTGAATAATTTGCGGCTTAATAAAGGTTAGTATGACGGCATACATTTATTTTATAGGTTAGTAATTGATGTAGGTTAGTTTAGTAATGAAAATACCGACTACGCAGGCCAATACAGTTAGTTGAACACAACAGTTATTCAATTGATGGTAATTAAATACGCAACTAGTTAGGTACATTATTTGACAAATAACTACAATTTAAAACGTATCATTCATTTATATACGAGGCAATGAAAATATTCCGTAATAGCCCGTAACAGAACAAAATGAAATTGTTTTTGTGAAACAAATCTTATAATATCGGATTACTAATCTTATTTGTAAGTATTTAGTTGCTGCTTCTTTTATTTAACGGAATCTGTAGATACTTACGTAAACCAAATGAATGAGTTTTTAGGACAATCTGCTTCATTGCTTGTAGCATTAAATTATTTCGAAAATTTCACAATGCTTTATTTTGAAAAATACTAACTAAGGAAAAGCATTACTTAATTCGATTCAGTTTAGTGGAATCATAGTTGATTTTAACTAACTAAATAATTTACGTATTATATTTAGAATCATTGAGTGCTAAATACTTTTGCGCAAGTTTTAGTCGATTATGGAGAACGAGTTATTTTTGGTCAGCGCCTGCCTGCAAGGTAACTGGAACTGTCAACATTTGCATACCATTGAAATTCTTTGGTGTGGTAGACTAGACAACTTCGACGTTTTTGACGTTCTTTATGGGCTATACATGATGAATGTATTAGGATTCTGTTTAGGTTCACACTACTAATAATATGTGTACCTAATTTGACTTTTAAATTCGGATAAAATCGACTAAAAATACGCAAGTTCATGTCCCAACACCAAAATGCGTTTGAAAATTCAAATTGTAGAATGCACTGTGTTGCAATAACAATTCCATATTTGAAATAATAATAAACGAGTTTTAGTATGTAAATAGAAACGTTCATTAAATAAACATGACGCTTCTCAATTCAAATTCCCAATATTTACTTTTTTCGTAAGTTATTAATCATTTTTAATACATTCAATATTTGATTCGATGCAATATTTAATGGAATCAGACAAGCATAACTCGTACATTAGTACCAGTTACTCATTAATTATTGATATTTCCATAATGCAATTAGCTAGACGTATGGCGGGTGCAACGACCTCGCTCACTATTGGCACAAGTGCTAGTCAGAGTGACATAAGACATTATAACATTACATTGCATTGTTCCACGATACTAAAATTAAACGTAACTACAACGTTGGGAATAAATACCGCGAGAGATATTAATTTTAATTATCATAATGTGAACAAAACAAATGGTAGACATCTGTTTTCGTTAAAAACATTCCGCGATTGTGTTGAAATAAAAACAGATATTTTGTTCCGTAGATAACATTGTTTTAAATTAGAGTAAACGCAACTGCTGAGTATCAGGTTCTGAGGTTCGTTATTGTTAAATAAAAAATATGACAGCTAATGGCGGTAGCAATGAATACTGTGGACTTCAAGTTATTGTTTAGGATAGACTATAAAATGCTACATATTTTGACTGGCTGTGTAAAGTACATCTGAAATCCTCTCTGCTGGAGCGCAATTCCATTCTTCATCCTACTATATACCAGTTGTTTTATTAAAAAAAATAAAAAGAATTATTGCTAAGTGCCGTTATTTTGAATATATGAGTCACGACTTGCATTTTTGTTGTAGTTCATATTGTATCTTCTCAGAAATCTGAAACAGCAAGCCACTGAGACTATAAATTGTACTCGAGCTTTTTTTTCAATGGCTCGTGACAAGCCGCAGCCGGTTTGAATTTCTTTTTTGGCACTGGCAACATTTTGCAATTACGGATTCCGTTATAATGGCATTTAAATCGATTCAAACTTTAAATTATCGAATGAGTTTTTTAACTGTCTGCTATACGACGAAAAAGGAAACAAATTTTACCATTTCAAACACAGAATAAACAAATACGGCAAAAACCAACCTCTATTATTAAAATGAAAAGAGTATTTTTAATTATTTTTTTTTTCATTTCGAAGACTAAAGCTATTTCGTCTATTTTTATGTACCTTTAAGAAAGTTAATGATTGAATTATTGAATATACAGACGTGTAGATAATTTAAACACAAACTGTCAGTTCACATAACAGTATAGGACAGGTACCTACAAAACATAATAATTATGTATATTAATTAATCTGTATGTTAATGTTGGTTCGGGTTATACAAGTAGAACGCACAATATGTCGGGTTCAATAACCATTCGATGTGATAATGTGACAACTGACAGGAAATATTTGTTGCATATGTTTCATTGTTATTAAGGACTATGAAGTAATTTATTCAAGCAATAATTAAACATTTAAATATTTATGAAGAGGTGGAAGAGGAGACTAGAAAAAGATGTGTGATGAAGTCACATATCACAATAAATGATAAGCTAACGTAAATTGTTAATTAAATTGTTTTTAAAGATAAAATAACGTTGTTTTCATGTAAGCCAATAATACTTTAGGTAGTCCTTACCTAGATACATATGTAAAACATAATTTTATTCACTTCATTGTAACTCCGAAGAAGCTGAATGTCCGATTCTGTCTGAAAAATGGGAACAAAAAATTCAGGTGCATTCTGTCGTCTGCACATCACACTACTGTAGCTAGACCAACGAAACAGAATAATCTAATTTTATAACAGGGATAATGTCATAAACTCTTCGTAGGTATATGTAGCGTGAAGATAAAGAGTGCGTTGACCCCGGCTGATATTGTATACAGAAATATTTTCGGCGTTTCGGACGCGTGCCGACTGCCTAGGGTTGCCAAAGTTGCTGTCTAGGTATATGAGTTGTGTTCGTCTAGCTCCCACGTGTATGTGACGATGTAGGATCGTAAATAGAAAGGGATTTCGATGTCTGAGTATAGAAACAAATAAAACTATATAATTTGCCACTAATTAAAAGAAATTATGTCATTGGTATTGTGAAATTTCGTCTTTTTAATTTAGTTTCGACACTAGCCCCTATTGCATCCGTAATGTGTGGATATTTAATGAAATAAATGTTATTGAGTTTGGCTTTATATTCCGTACTCTGAATGCGATTTTAACAGCTACGGTTGTATAGTGTTAACATTGAATAATTACTGTGATTTTATTAGATTGAAATTGCATTGACATTGAGATTAGTTTCAAGAGTAAGCGACCCGTCTGCTTATTTGCCTTCATATCCCGTAACATAACTCTAAAACCTATAAGTTATCACTATCTTTATGGCACAATTATTGTATTTTGCTACAAAAACACAACAATAAGAGAAAGAACCACAGCATCATAACTAGCGACAACCCTAGAGCAACACATTAGGAAAATAAAAAAGGAGTTGTCAATCTGTGCGTTTTATTTTGAGAAAGAGTTTCGAAATACACAAAGTTAACTGGTTCTAACCGAATCCGTAGAGAAACTGTTAATTTACAACACTTTTTATGCTAATATACAAACACACATAATGCTGATATATGGTCAATTAGGTAAAATAACAACAAGACGAGTTGTTATTCCAACGATGAGTTTTATACTGGCGCAATGTTGCCAGCCTACTAAATGAGAAAAGTTGGCTGAATAACAATTGTGTGGTCGGTTTTATTACAATTATTGCAGAATTTATTCATATTTATGCTACATACTGATACGATTGTAGGTATCTATGAAGTAGTTGGACAGGTTTTATAATAGCATTCTACATTCAAACTGACATGTTTATTGTTTGCCAGTCTCGCTTAACTCGCGGCTTAACTCATTCTCCAGCTTCCTACTTACCTGTAGACACAAAAATAATAGAAAAAATATTCCTTGCGACAACGTTGATACCTATCTAGATATTTTACTAGTAGCACTTATGGGATATTGGTACTCATTTCTGTTAAATTCTATCTATAAATGCAGATTGAGACTAAATTACTCTTAGCTGTGTTTACGAAAAATTTTAAATATCACAAATTCTAACGAGGCGATTATAATCTAAAATAACCATCATTAATCATTTTTAAATATTTACTTTGTCAAGGAAACTGTCATGTCGTGCTCAACACTATTATCATATAAGTGTTTATATATATTTCTAATATTAAATGAAGTGGGCAATCATAAACTGAGTTACCATTTGTAGCTCGAGGCCATATCTTGTCAAATTAATGGCCCAGTACCCATATCGAGGTCAATAGGCGCCGGCGCATAATACACAACTAATTTTAGTATTCTCGACTACGAAGTGGTTCTTCTCGTTATGGTAATACGACTGTCAATGTATCGAATGGTATCGATGCTAACCAAAAATCGACTAAACTAGGTTTTTCACTTCACTATTGCTATTTAATTCGTGATAAGGCTGCACCTGTCCGCCCTGAGGACACGGTGAAACACACAGTGGGAGAATGCCCTGCATGGGCTGAGCACCGCCGTGCCCTCAGGGAAGTGATCGGCGATGGCGACCTCTCGCGTCCGATGAG